AGAAAAGCTGGGAGGGAGGACAGGGGACCCAGCAGGCAGGTGGGCACCTGCTGGGAGGCAAGAGCTGGGGAACAGCGACGATGGAGGCTCCTGGGAGTAAGGAGGGGGAGGTCACCTCAGCACAGGGGAGACACGGGGACCCCGTCTCAGGTAGGGGCAGCCACCTAACCCAGGTCAGGACCTGAACCTGGCTGGCCCTGGGGGACATGCCCGTCAGCAGCTGGACTCCTGGCCTGAGAAGAGGGCTCAGCAGGCCGGGCAGGAACATGCAGGGTGGCAGAGGAGGGACACGCAGGAGGCCAGGCGGCAGCAGCAGGGCTGGCAGGAGGAGGCAGGGGCACAGCAGGAGGAGATGGGCATGCAGCAGGTGGACCTGCACACGGGGCGGCAGAGAAGGGACACGCAGGAGGAGGGTCTGCAGCAGGAGATGGTGCAGCAAGCCGGCTGGCAGCTAGTCTTCTGGCAACATGAAGAGGAAGACTCTGAGCAGACGGGCACGCAGTAGATGGGCTTGCAGCAGATGGGCACACAGCAGGCCTGTTGGCATGGGGAGGAGGTGCAGCAAGCTGACCAGCAGCTAGATTGCTGGGAGCATGGGGAGGAAGCTCCAGAGCACGTGGACACACGGCACACGGGCTTGCAGCAGATGGACTTGCAGCAGACAGGCACACTGCAGGCCTGTTGGCAGGGGGAGGAGGTGCAGCAAGCCAGCTGGCAGCTAGACTGCTGGCAGCATGAGGGTGTGCAGGAGCTGGTGCAGCCTGATTGGCAGGGGCTGGGCTCACAGCTCACTGGGGCACAGACCAGGGCCAGACAGGGGGGTGGGGCACAGCAGCTAGTGGTACAGCAGCTGGGGGCACAGCAGGGGGGCTCGCAGCAGCTCTCCTGGCAATTGTCCACCTGCCAGGAGGAACCAGTACAGGTGCTGGGGGAGGAGACTCGGCTGACACAGCCCACGTCACTGGAGCAGACAGACATGGTGGATGCAGCAATCACATATGTCCTGGTGCAGCAGGTGTCAGCCAAGGTGGGTGCTGGGATGGGTGGTGTGAGTGCTGGCGTGAGGTGTGTGTGTTTGCATGCCCTGGCTGCTGAGGTTTTATACGCTCCCTGGGTATTTTCCTCACAGGAGTCTCACAAGCATTCATTTTCCTTGTTGTGGCTGAGACTTTGCCTCCAGGCAACCCTAATTAGTTTACTTGCTGTGGGATGTTACTGTGGTCCCAGGACTGCTGCATGTGGTTGGGTGATGCTGGCCACTTGCAGGTGTCTGTGCCCAGCAAATACACACAATGATGCTGAATGTCTGCTGGTGGAGCTGGGAGTCGAACAGTTCATGAGTTGGCGAGTCTGGAAAACCTGGCCCCACTTTCCTCCTCTCTTTGCCTGTGTGTCTTTGCTATTGGGGTATTTGGTGCCGGGGTGGGGTGTGTTTTGCCAGCAGATGCTCTCCACCTGTCCCAGAGTCCTGCTCCACTGAACAATGGGTGTCTTGGCTGGGAATGCCCCCCTGGCTCCACACCCTGCCACCCCCACCTGCTCCATTTGCAAACTCTGGTGGGGGTACCCCTGTATTAGCCCATTTTCACATTGCTGATAAAGACATACCCAAGACTGAGAAGGGAAAAGGGTTTTAATTGGACTTACAGTTCCACATGGCTGGGGAGGCCTCAGAATCTTGGTGGAAGGTGAGAGGCACTTCTTACATGGTGGCAGCAAGAAAAAATAAGGAAGAAGCAAAAGCAGAAACCCCTGATAAACCCATCAGATCTCATGAGACTTATTCACTATCACTAGAATAGCACAGGAAAGACCGGCCTCCATGATTCAATTACCTCCCCCTGGGTTCCTCCCACAACATGTGGGAATTCTGGGAGATGCAATTCAAGTTGAGATTTGGGTAAGGACACAGCCAAACCATATCATTCTGTCCCTGGCCCTTCCAAATCTTATGTCTTCACATTTCAAAACCAATCATGCCTTTCCAACAGTCCCGCAAAGTCTTAACTCATTTCACCATTAACCCAAAAGTCCACAGTCCAAAGTTTCATCTGAGACAAGGCAAGTTCCTTCCACCTGTGAGCCTGCAAAATCAAAAACAAGCTAGTTTCTTCCTAGATAAAATAGGGATACAGGTATTTGGTAAATACAGCCATTCCAAATGGCAGAAATTGGCCAAAACAAAGGGGTTACAGGAACATGCAAGTCCAAAACCCAGCAGGGGAGTCAAATTTTAAAGCTCCAAAATGGTCTCGTTTGACTCCAGGTCTCATCCAGGTCATACTTATGGAAAAGGTGGGTTTCCATGGTCTCAGACAGCTCCACCCCTGTGGCTTTGCACCCCTGTGGCCTCCTTCCTGGCTGCTTTCACAGGCCGGCATTGAGTGTCAGCAGCTTTTCCAGGCACACGGTGCAAGGTGTCAGTAGATCTATCATTCTGGGGTCTGGAGGATGGCGGCCCTCTTATCACAGCTCCACTAGGCAGTGCCCCAGTAGGGACTCTGTGTGGGGGCCCTGGCCCCACATTTCCCTTCCACACTGCCCTAGCAGAAGTTCTCCATGAGGGCTCCGCCCATGCAGCAAACTTCTGCCTTGGCATCCATGCGTTTTCATACATCTTCTGAAATCTAACCTCAATTCTTGACTTCTGTGCACTTGCAGGCTCAACACAACATGGAAGCTGCCAAGGCTTGGGGCTTCCACCCTCTGAAGTCATAGCCTGAGCTGTACATTGGCCCCTTTCAGCCATGGCCGGAGTGGCTGGGATGCAGGGCACCAAGTCCCCAGGCTGTACACAGCCTGGGGACCCTGGACCTACAAAACCACTTTTTCCTCCTAGGCCTCTGGGCTTGTGATGGAAGGGGCTGCCCTGAAGGTCTCTGACATGGCCTGGAGATATTTTCCCCATGGTCTTGGGGATTAACATTAGGCTTCTTGTTACTTATGCAAATTTCTGCATCCAGCTTGAATTTCTCCCTAGAAAATGGGTTTTTCTTTTCTATTGCATAGTCAGACTGAAAATTTTTCAAACTTTTATGCTCTGCTTTCCTTATAAAACTGAATACCTTTAACAACCCCCTCTCCCTGGTGTACATCTCTCTCAAGACCCATCCCAGATGCTCTTCTTAGTTCTGCTTATCTCAGAATTATTAAACAATGCATATGCTCTGTTATTTCTTGCATTTTCAATTTCAGATATGATCTGATTTCCTATTGTGGAGGAAAGTACTTTCTCTTGTTTATCACCAGGCCCATGAAAAGTTCCCCTCTTCCCATCCTCAGAAGGCAAGGGCAGTAAAATATCAATATTTTGTTAAATCAGTGTTCAGAATGTATATTATAATAAAGTAAGTATTGTTCATAGCCAAGTCTGAATAGTGGAACCAGATTAAATTTCCTTATTTGTACATGTTTTGTTTTTGTTTATATTTTCCCCCTCTTGGAGTTAAAAATTGCTCCTTCCCAAACTCTGACTCATTCATCCCCATGCTCCACTCAAGAGGTTCAAATATAACAATCTATTAGCTTCATTTATTTTTTGGAAACATCTCTCTTAGAGCTCTCTTATTTGTGGACCAGTCTCTATTGACTGCTCCCTCAGCCTGGTACACAGGTTTCCTGGGATCTCCCTTCACTCTTGTCTTTGAATTTTCGTTCATCTCTCTCCGATGTTGGCTCCATTACTTCCTGGATGCCTTGTCATTTTCTTTCTAGATTTATGCCCTTGTTTTGGTGGAGCACATCCTCCAGTAACTTTCTGAAAATGGGTGCAAGGAAGATATATTTCTGAGCCATAGCATGACTAAAAATGCCTTTATTCTGCTCTTCTATTTGATTGATAGCTTAGTTGGATATAATCTGGGTGGAATTGTTTCCCCTTAGAATATTTTGGGGAAGTTGTGGAACATTTCCAGAATCCTAAATGATCCCTTGTGCTGTCTCTCTGTTGACCCCTCCTCCCTAAGTATTAGTTGCTGTTCTACCTTCTCTCATCATTGGTTAGCTTTGCCTGTTCTATGGAGCTCTTTTGTTTTATGGTTCCTTGTTATCTGTGAGAAGCACCTTGTTGCTGCATGCATCAGTACATCACTCTTTTTTTTTTTTGCTACCCCATTGCATTAAATTCTACAATGTGTTATTTGTCCATTCTTTTTCACAGTGTTAGAGATTTGGATTATTTCCAGATTTTGGCTGCTATTAATAGTGCTGCTAGAAAAATTCTTATACACTTTTTCACTGATACTTTTACTAATTTCTCTTTATTGTGCTCCCCAAAGTGGAATTGCTCAGTCATAGATAGGCATGTGTTGGTTTAGCATATACCAACAACTTTCTAAAGAAATTTACATCCCCACTAGTTGATTTTATAATTCCATTTATTCTGTATCTTTACAAAATGAGGTTTATCAGTCTTTTAAAATTGGTTTATTTTGGAAAGTGTGTAGGAATATTGCACTGTTGCACTAATGGGCATATCTCTGATGAGTAAAGCTGCTCATTAAACCTTGGATATCTTTTCTTGTGAAGTGCCTGTTCAAGGCATTTGCTTGCTTTTTAAAATATGGCTACTTGTGTTTCTTATTGATTTGCAGAAATTTATTACGTATTCTGAATATGAGTGATTGTATATTTGCGACGTGTCAGTGAATGTTCAATAACTGGCTTTTGTTTTTGTAACAAAAACCAAAACAGAAGTCCTGATTGACTGCATTTGCCAACGTCCACATGTGAATACTCCCAACCCAGCTAAATCCAGGCTACCAAGACAACATCACTTAACACAGAGATGGGAAGAGAGGGGTGCACGTTAGCTCTCATGAGCCAAGGCATGCTGACTTTAGTGCACCACTGAATATGGGAATTGCAGATAACTCATCCAAGTCTGGGGTTTAAAAATAAAGTTTTTAAAAAGTCAGTTTTATTGAAGTATGATTCCATACTGTAAAATGTACCTATTTAAAGTTATCATTTGATAAGGTTTGAGAAAATATACACTCATGTAACCACTACCACAAGGAAGATCTGGATTTTCTATCATCTCCAAGTTTCCAGGTGTACTTTTCATGATCAATCCCCACCCCTCCTGACTCTGCCCCAGCAAACAACTGATTTCCTCTGTATCTCAAATAGGTTTGTCTTTCCTGGAATTTCATATAAATCAAATTCTATAGTACAATTGACCCATGTGTCGATGGACACATGGCTTGTGTGGCAAAAGCTTCTTTAAACATTTGTGAGCAAGTCTTTGTGATATGATTTCACTTTTCTTGGGTAAACACATAGGAGGTGGAGTGTGTGGGGCATGTGAAGGGGGTGTGTGTCATGTTTACGACACCACCAAACTGTTTTTCAGAGGGATTGTTCCATTTCATGTTTCCACCCCAGCAAATGTAGGAGAGTTCCATTTCCTGCACACATTTGCTGACACTCGGTATTGGTCGTCTATTTCAATTTGAGTCATGGTTATGGATGTGTTGTGGTATTAATAGTATCATTTGATGAAGAGACGCTCTTAATTGTGGTAAAATCCGATTTACTAATTTACTCTCTTATGTGTAGCATTTTTACCTCCTGTTCCCAAAATCTTTGCCTACCACAACATCGTGAAGACATTCCCCTATATGTGCTTCTAGAGCTTCATTATTTTTATTTCATTTATTGTTTATTTACTAATTTTTAAATTGACAAATAATAATTGTGTGTATTTACTGGGTATAATGTGATGTTTTGATCTATAATGTGATGTTTTGATCTATGCATGCACTGTAGAAAGATTAAATCAAGCCCTGTAATACCAGCACTTTGGGAGGCCAAGGCAGGTGGATGATGAGGTCAGGAGATCAAGACCATCCTGGCCAACATGGTGAAACCTTGTCTCTACTAAAAATACAAAAATTAGCTGGATGTGGTGGCGCACACCTGTAGTCCCAGCTACTCAAGAGACTGAGGCACAAGAATCGCTTGAACCCGTAAGGCAG